AATATGTATTTATATATAAAAGTGTTACTTCTCTCATCAAATGTATTCTTGACACATGCTGTTGTCTGAAGAGGCCCTAACCCCCCTCCCTTTCTGCATTTTTACTATTGAGTGCCAGTTAATTCTAAGTCTACTCAACAAAATTCAAGAGCTTGCTGTAATGCATACTTTAAAAGTAAGAAATCCCAGTGTACGGAGACAGTATCATCTTAAATGACTTTGTCTGAGTCTTCAGCATCTACCAATAGTTTGCAGACAGTTGTTTTGTCTTAGAACACAATGAAGATCAAGCTAATTCTGTCTTGTGTGCATAGGCCTTTAGAAATGGGGTTACCTCAGAGTAAACCTATAAGACACTTTCCTTTCTCCTGTCAATTTCTTTCAAAGTTAATTTTGCCCACTCTTTCTTCTAAGAAAAGAGATTTTTTCTTGATATAAAACAGTGATCAGAAACTTACCCTTTTACCAAAATATCTATATCAGATACCACAGATAATGAGGAGGTGTCCATTACATGACCAGCTTTGTCTATTATGTTTTGCTTATCATTCAACACTTTGACATATAAATTATAAATGCTCTGCAACAGTATACTGGAGAGATTTGTAAATCAAATTAAAAAAAACTCTAAGTATATAAGGGTTGCTTCCATAAACAGGCCTTTACAGTTCAAGTAGGAAATGATTGGGAAGAGTTAATGAACAACTGGATTTTATAGTACAAGATTTGACAGCATTTATCTCCAACCAAAGAATAGAGTCTTTTCCAAGTATTGTTTGATAGGCTAATAATTTGTTTTTCAAAGAAAATTTCATGAGATATTTTACAAAGTCTTTACTGGGAAATGTTCAACTCTTGTGAACACAAACTGAGACCCAAATTAAAAACTTCTCCATCACATCCAAGCTTTGAGGTGAAGGAGGAGTCTTTAAATGATGCTCAGCCTCAAGTTCCTTAATTCAAAACTTGGGAAAGATGAGTGCTGATATTTGCCCAATTTTAGGAAAACTATCAATGTAACATGAATAATATATATGAAAAATTCTGTAAGGCAGACAACATAGCAAATGGGTAATAGCTGAAGACTTCACTGATTTATACATTAAATTGTCCCAGTATTTCTTCACCACTCCTAGCTTATCATTTTCTATTACCCCAACTATTATCACTACCGTATTGTACCACTTTCTGTTGTAAACAAAATTCATCAGCCTATGCAATGAAAACTGCTACACACTTTTCCCATCCAATTCCCTTTGCAGACAATGATAAGTTATGTTATCACTTTATGGTAGATGTTTGGGTCCGTTTTGTTTAATGAGACATAAAGACTTTTTTTTTTTTTGCAGGATGCTAGCAAATTTGATTTCTAACAAGTAGAACCAGTTTATGGGTATGAAAATGGGTTCTTGCAATCAAAACCAATTTTGAATGTTTTTGTATTTATTGACTGCTTTCTATATGTTGTTACTAAACACTAATATAGAACCTCATTCTTTAAAATCAGGATTATGTTATGTACTTTTTCATAGTTTATGAAATCGAATAAAATATCTCATTCAAGTTGATACTGCTATATTTAAACTGAGGCATGGATCCTTGTGGGATGCTGCTGAACATGTGTGGTCTGTCTCTGCTCCTTCTCCAAGAGGGTATATCAGCTGTTGGAGACAGTCATTGAAAGAAATGTTACAACATTCTTTGCTCTATGGTATGCAATTATCATTCTCTTTAAAATGGAGAGGCATTCATTGCCATTCTGATTGGATGATGGGTGATGAAGGGATAAATAAAGAGATCACATAGAGAAACATTACTCAGACCCCAGTCCTGGCTAATAGCAGTTGATGTCTCCAGAACCAGGTGGAATGGTGCAGAGCAAGGCGGGGTCAAGATAGGAGCTGCTTATTCCTAAAGACCTGATTTTTTGGATTTTAGTAACCTACTGGAGACCTTCCTAAACTCCAGCATATGAGCTCAATAGCACAAGACAGAACTCAGTCACTGAAATGTAGAAATAATAGAAGCAATTTAAAAGAAAACATGAAAACATTAGAGGCACCTTCTTCCTTTGTTCCCATATGAACTCCAATGTGACAGTGTGATACACACTGACCTTTACAAAATTGGGATTTGAGGAAGAGGTAAGTTCACAGAGTTGTGTCTTATGATATGAAAAATAGTACGTTAGTGCTTTGAGCATTTGATTCTGTATCAAAGAGGAGTAATATTTTAGTCTAGGATCAGGTGAGAAGAAAAGAGGAAAAGAATTTTAGGTCCCATCCCTCACTGAGGATTACAGTTTGAAGAGCAGCGGGATGGGATGCACTGCAAGAGGATGACCGTTTCCTCTGACTTTACTTTTCCTCTACATCCACAGCATATACCATCTCACATATCCTATTTGGTGGCAGAAAGAAAATTGTTCTATAATCAGATCGTCGCCTATCTCAGCTATAATCACATGGACCAGGTTTTCTTTAAGGTTGCATAAAATAACAACAATCGCTATCAAAGTCCTTCTTTGTCTTTTTTGACATTGTAACACACCTCATTGTACTGACTTCTAGATCAATTCAGTGAATAAATGGAATTCAAGTTAACATATTGCCACAAAATCCTATCTCCAATCATTTAAAAAAGCTGAAATAGGATAGTTAAAAATATTAGCAAAATGTTATAGAGAAACAGTATCATTATATCAAGATCTGTGACTAGCAATCCATCCACTTTTTGATTTGAGACTGATGGTGATAGACTGTGAGTAACATTTGTAACACAGAACTGTGCAAGTGTAATCTTATGATCACTGAAAAATACCATGCACGTTGTAAGACAAACAGAAACTAAGCCCCAGCACCTTAATACCTTCTAAAGTCATTAATTTATCAAACACATCAACACACCAGTAATGATCTGCTCCGATGTGTGACATACCACTGTGAGGCCAGCTAGGCACTAAGAGGGATATACAAATAGGTAAATGAGGTTTCCACTTGTAGGACGTTTGCTCTAACTAAAGTATGAAACAAGATGTGCCAAAAAAAAAAAAATTGGCATGATGACAAGAGGGTAAAACCTGGAAAGAGCAGACTGGGTGAGCAGTGTCTTCCTAATTGTTGATATCATCCTATTTGTGTATCTAGCTGACGTTCAGGTATTGAGGAATACTGACAACTGAGAATATAGTTCATTAAAATAATATTTTTTAAAGAAACGCTTATTGTGTGACATGCACTATGTACATATGTTATGTAGTCCTCAAACTGAGTAAACAGCTGTGCTTCAAAATCACCACTCATGGGGGTGGGGGACTGAGCCCCAGAGAGGCTAGGAAAACCTGGCAAAAGTTATACAACTGAGCAATTTTTGCTGCTAGCATGTAGTTCCAGGGCTGTCTAGTTTAACAATATGTTCCTTTGACTAAAGAGCCTACTATGTGCTTCCATTCCCTGCAGTCAGTGATATAAGTGAAATGATCCCAATTGGTCACTTGAAATTAATAAAGTACAGAGAGGAGATGTCAATGTCAGCATTGAAACAGGGAAAAAGCCGGTTGCATAGCATTCTCTGCCATCACTAGATGATTTCTTCCTAAGGAGCCTTCCTTATTGAATTCTCAGTACTCAGACTTAGGCATACAATTGCCATTCCATGCCAGCTTGTCTGTATTATAAATCAATTTTCCCCTGGAAAGTTTTTATTTGTAAAAAAAAAATGGCTGATGGAAGAAATGTCTGAAAAATAGATGTCATAGGCAATCAGAAAAGCTGATTTTGCAGAAGTTTCAGGAGTGTTTTTAATAGAGGTGTCAGGAAGGCATGGGGGGGGGAACGTGAGCAGGTTAGATATATGGAAGGGAAGGCCTTCTAGATAGAAACCAAGACTCTCCAGCATTTGTTGAAGAAAAAATGATACAACTTAGTTTGTCTAGTGTCTTACACAACCTACATGGGAAGAGATGAGAAATAGAAAGTAATTAGAAAAGAATTTAGTAAGGTAGGGGTACAAGCTATTAACTCCAACAGATTAGACTTTAGGGCTAAATTTCTCCAAGGATCTTATAGGTTCATTCCAAACCTTAGCAGACACTCCATATTCATCATCACTACCATTAGTGCTTTAAATAAAGAGGGATGACAGAAAAGGCTTCCAGCGGAGCTAGGTGACAGTATATAAGAATGATTCAAGCAATATCATTTAGATATTTGACTTCATTTTGAAAGACACTTTTTCAGTTGAAAGTTACTACGCTTACATTTACTTATACAGTTTTAAGGAAGACTATCAAAATTCAGCAGAGATGCTTTGATTAGCTTTTTGATAGGCACTTCCTAAATAGAATAAATCTTTATTTATAATCCACAAATTTATGGAACAGAACCTCCTTATTTCCAGCTATCATCAATCTGTGTAGCACTTCGATATCTCAGAATTTGTTCTCAAGATTCATAATCTCTATTTTGAATCTATGGAAACAGTGATAAGGGTAACACTCAACTTCACTCACGCATTGGCTGTTGCACTAGATCACTTGAAGACTGAAAGTACTTATTAACTGCTGCTTATGATATTAAATCTGGGGTGGAATGGGATGCTAGGCATCAAAGAACTGGGAAACTAAAGAATTTAGTAGAGTTGTATGCAGAGGCACTGGATTGTTTTGTCCGTTTAGGTTATTAAAACATCTCCATAAAGAGTTTAACTTGCCCATTACATCTAAAATATAGCTTACCTTTGTTCTCCTTGCCCTTCTGAACTAATGTGCCTTACGATGTACCTCCTTATTAGTCATATTGATGTCTGTGCATCTAGCCTCAGCTTACATAATTTGACAATACCCAATCAGTCCTAAAATACACACTCAGAAAAGTCTCAAACCCTAAAGCACTCTACCTGCTGTAGCTTGAGTCATGCAGATGTCCTCTACTGAAAGACCACAAAGCAAATGCAACTGTTTCCCTAGCAGCCAAGCCCTGCTACCCCCTCATAATTGTTACCTTAGGGTTTCCCCAGAGGAGCCCCTCCTCTTCCACAGATTGACTAGGCTGCTGGATCTGCTGGCAGCAGAGGATGACTTGCCATCCCCTACGTGCATGCGCACCACCGTAGATGTTGTAAAGGCGCTGCGCACGTTTCTCTCCGGTTTGGCGAGGATGATGTATACCTTCGGCACAAACATGCAGCCCAGCGCCACCGTGGCACTGAGGCTGACGGAGAAACACATGGTGATGATTTTGTAGTTGCTGCCAAAGTAGATAGGCACGAAGGCCAGCCATATGATGCAGGTTGTGTACATGGTGAAGGCAATATACTTGGCCTCATTAAAGTTGGCTGGGACGTTTCTGGTCTTGAAAGCATAGAACGTGCAGCTCAAAATCAATAATCCATTGTATCCAAGAGGAGTGACCACCCCAAGATTGGTGGTGTTACAAATCAAGTAGACCTCTCGAATGCTTGGGTAGTCATGCATTATATCCGGGGGCTCCATGATAAACAGGGCCACGATAATACCCAGCTGGATACAGATGAGAATGAAGGCAATCACTAACTGAGCACAGGCACTCATGAATCTGGGTTTCTTGGTGCAGATCTTCTTCTTGCTGCCTGCTAGGATCCTTGCAATGCGGTTGGTCTTGGTTACAAGTGCTGAGTAACTCATGGCTGGAGAGAGACCGATGCCAATTCTCTGGAGATAGCAGTAAATCTGCTTGGGCTTTGCAATGAGGCAGAAAGTACATAAGTAGCCCAGGCAGATGCCCGCAAGGATAATGTAGCAGAGCTCCCGGCTGGAGGACTTGACCACCGGAGTATCCCGATAAATGACGAAGACCACAGTAACGAACAGGGTGGCCAGCAGGCCAAGGCAGGCGAACACCACAGCTGCTATGGGCTCGGGGTCACCCCAGCGAAGATACTGTACCGGGATCAAATCACAACCTGCAGACACATAGACACACGTCGAAAAAGAAGGAGAGAAATTTATGTGGCTTACAAGTTTCCAGTTTATAAGCAACCGCTTGTGATTGCTTCAGTCTGTCTCTCGTTTACCTTTCTAGTTTCAGTCTCTCATACAATTTATTCCTTCAGCGACTCGTTCAGAAAAATTAATATTGTTAAGTGGATGCTGCTTGATATGAGCTCTCTTGCATTCTGAAATGAAGTGACGGTAATCACTTTTCCTGTTTTCTTAGAAAAATTGTTTGGCATCTTTAAAATAATTGCTTACACCTGGGATAAATCTATGGAGAAGTGCCACGGCTTTATTAGCCAGGAGCAACCCAAGATTCCTACAGAAACTAGCAAGTGCTATGTGACAAAACATGAAAAAAGGTATATTTGGTGAACGTAGGTTATCTGTGAGAAAGGGGGAAAAGAGAGGATACTACAGTGCAATAGAGTGATGCACAGCCTTGGATGAGGCTGCACAGCAGGCAGGTAGGCTAACCTGCGGGTCAGAGAGTCTTAAGTTGACCAGAAGTTGTTATTGTAAATGGTGTAGAGGAATGGCATGGACTGATTTGAGTGACTGCATTTCAAGCTTGCTTTGATTGATGTAATCAATGAAATCAGGCTGTGGATAAAGCTATTTTGGAGTTATCTTAAGTGTTTTGAGGCATGCAGAAGTACATGAAAACAAAAGATTTTTAAATTATTTTTAATAAAAAACAAACAAGTACAAAAGACAATTGAAAAATAGAAAGGAATAATTTTCCTTCCTTGTAATCTGCCCTTCTTGCCTCGTGTACCAGTATTTCAGGTTTCAGATAGTTAACCCTTGGTACTATAGGCTCAACAGAGTTGTATGGCTGAGGTCATCTGCACACTTTGCAAAATTGCTTCTACTGGAAAACATATTTGTATTATCAATAATCATTAACAGATCTTTTAACATAAGTTTTGTGACTATTCCAAAGTAAATATAAGTTATTGTATAAATCTTTAACTGCAAATAAATACATATCTCACTGCTAATGCATAGATCTCTACAGAACACTGTTAAAATGGGCACCAGGATAAACAACTAAAAAATGGGACCTCATGAAACTGAAAAGTTTTGGCAAGGCAAAGGGCACTGTCATTTGGACAAAGCTGTAGCCTACAGAATGGGAAATGATTTTTACGAGTTCCACATCTGATAGAGGGCCAATATCTAAAATATATAAAGAACTCAAGAAATAGACATCAAAAAACAAAACAACCCAATTGAAAAATGAAGTACCATCTAAACAGAGAATTCTCAATAGAGGAACCTCAGATGACTGAGAAACATTTAAAGAAGTGTTTAACATGCTTAGCCATCAGGAAAATGCAAATCAGAACTACTTTTATCTTACACTTGTCAGAATGGCTGAAGTCAATAACATGGATGACAGCTTGTGCTGGTCAGTATGCACAGAAAGGGAAAGACTCCTCCATTGCTGGTGGAAGTGCAAACTTGTACACCCACTACAGAAATCAATATGGTGGTTCCTCAGAAAGAAGGGAATTGATTGACCTCAGTATCTAACTATACCACTCTTGGGTATATACTCAAAGGAGGTTTCATCCCACCACAGGAAAACTTGCTCAACCATGTTTATTGTCTCTCTATTCATAATAGCCAGAAATTGGAAACAACCTAGATGACACTAAACAGAAGAATGGATAAAGAAAATGTTGTATATTTATACAATAGATTATTACTCAGCTATTAAAAAATGGCATCATGAAACTTTCAGGCAAATGGATGGAACTAGAAAGATAAAAGATCTTTTAACCCAAAAATTTGTGAGTAGTTCAAAGTAAATATGTTATTATATACATCTTTAATTATAAAGAAATATATCATACTCTCTATATTTTACTATTAATGCATAAACTTGTATCCATGTTTTTAGCCACCCTTATTTACATCCAATACTTATATATTCAAATAAAACTGGGCTGAGGTTACAGACTGGTTAGTAGAGTGCTTTCTTAGAATGTGCAAAGTCCTAACCTTGATTGCCCAACTCTACATGAGCTGAGGATAGTGGGATATGCATGTAATGTCAAGATTATCCTTAACGACATAGCCAGCTGGAGGGCAGGCCTTGGGAGACATAAAACCCTGATTCAACAAAATAGTTTAATTCATTAATTAATAAGAGTTTAAGAAAATTCTACTTTTGATACTTCAGTATGTCACAGAGCTTTCATTTATACTTATAAAACTTCCCTTATAAAAAGCATTTTCAAAAGAAAGAATTAATCACTATTATCTTTATTCTTGTGGAACAATGCATTTATAGCAGTGAGTTGAAAATTACCTTCTTTGTCGATAATAGCTAATCATGTAGAGACTCTTTCCACTCTTAGATCATGTATTTCTACTGTCCACATGTTAGTACTAACATAGGAGAAAATCTATGTCATATATGAAGCAGATATTCTTTCATCTCATAAAGAAGCAACTGAAAACGTTGAATGTTTTAACTAAAGGACATTTTTAAAATACACAACTTTCTTCTAGTCTGTTCATAATTGCCTTTTATGTAAATGCATTAGTGTTCCAATTTCTCAATGCTTTACATAGGATAGCATTAATCATTATTTTTATGTCAGATAGATTATTGAATTGTTCATGTGCAATCCCTTAGCATCATGTATGAAATTAATGGCAACTCATTAACTTTATGTACTGAGGAACTATGCATAAGGCATGGCTCTCATGTGATGTCATTATTTGGAGTTTACTTGAATTCAGATGAGTATTGTATCATTTAATGTGTACCATTCAGGAAGCTTTATGTATAATTCAGTGGCAACACCATTTCATGAAACACTTTTGTAGTTTTCTTCCCACATTTATAAGACTGATTTTAGTGCTTTGATCAAGAAATGACATCTTGAGCTTCCAGCAGCAGACACTGCACCATAATTATTTAAGAAATATAGCAAAGTACAATTCAAGATTGCAAACTTAGGAGACTGTGAGACAGTACTCTGTGGCAGGGAAGGAAATCTTTTGTTTTAGAAATATTAGTTTATAAATATTAGGCTTTATTATGGTATTTTTTCAAATAAAATCTGTTTTTATTGTTTCTCTTTCCCCATTCGTTTCATTAATTTTTCATTAATTATCACATGCATGCATGCACACACACACACGCATATACACACACACACACACACAGCTTCATAAGTATACAAATACAACCTGTTCAGTTTGTTCAATACTACTTGTATGCTTGCTTTCAGGGCTGACCTTTGTTATTGGATAATCAACTGCATATTCTTCCCTGTAAGACCATTTCTCTTTCTCTTGCTCTCAGCATTCACTACCTGTCTACATTTCTTTGTTTAGGGTTGAAACAGAATTGGTTTTCACCTGTCCACTTTAGGATATCTCTATGTACATGATTGTTTTAGCTATCCTGGGTTTTTTGTTTTTCCATATGAAGCTGAGTATTGTTCTTTCTAGGTCTGTGAAGAATTGTGTTGGGATTTTGACAGGGATTGCATTGAATCTGTAGATTGCTTTGGGCAGAATTGCTATTTTTATTATGCTTATCCTACCTATCCAAGAGCATGGGGAATTTTTCCATTTTTTGATTTTTTTTTTCAATTTCTTTCTTCAAAGAATTAAAGCTCTTCTCATACAGGTCTTTCACTTGCCGGTTAGTCAAACTATGGGAGTTCAATAGAAGAGAGGGAGGGAGGATTATATGATCAAGGGTGTGTGTGTGGGGGGGGTCAAGATCATCACAGGGGAAACCTACAAAGACAGTTGGCCAGAACTTGCAGGAGCTCATCGACAACTGGGGATTCTGCATAGAAGCAAACCAGGGCCCCTGCATTTGGGTGATAGTTTTGTAGCATGGTCTGTTTATGGGATTCCTGACAGTGGGACCAGGATCTATCTCTAGTGGATGAGCTGGGTTTTCTAAGCCCATTCTGTATGGTGAGATGCTTTGCACAGTCTTGATGTGGGGTGGGGTGAGTTGAAGGTTGAAGAATGTGTCAGGCTTTGTTGGCTCCCCATGGGAGGCCTTAGTCTTTCTGAGGAGCAGAAGAGGGTGGGTTGGTGGGAGGTGGGGAAAGGTGGAGGAGGTGAAGGAGTTGTAGTTGTGGTTGGTATGTTCAATGAATAAAACAAAAGAAACCAAAACCAAAACCAAGAATATCTATAGAGGCAGATGTGGGCCTTGCATTGAGAAAGGTCAGGGTCAGTGAAGTAGGATGTGTGAGGCATGGCCTGAGATCCTCTGGCCAGAAAGTGTTTCTGATGTCAAAGGCCTGCCCTAGCTTCCTACAGTAGCATCGCTCAGTTTCCTTCTCAGTTCTCACCCAAAACAGCTTACAGCAAGTTTCAAGTTTTAGGTTCAAAGTTACGTACGCCTCCTTGTGGTAAGTTGTCATATTATTTTACCTTCTTCTACCATGAGCCTATTATTATGTTTTTAAATGAGACTGTCTTGTTTAATGTGGAACATACGCCATTAAATTTCAAAGAATCATACAATACGATCTTTACTCTGTTGTGAATTTGTTCACAGTGATGATGGTCCATAATATGCATATTGTTTACAAATATCTGAAATGCTAGTCTTCTTACTTTTTCTTCTAATTCATGGATTTTTTTTTTTAAAAAATTAATGGTTTGCTTTTTATGCTTATTTCATTCTCAGTGTAAAAAATAAGTGCAGAAATTAACTAAAAATCCGAAGTACATATATTTTAAAGTTTGCTTATATTTTGCTTATGAGTTTTTTAATTTAGTGTATGTTATTTTATTTTAGGAATATTCATCTTCTTCATCATAGTCATGGAGTTCCCTGTGTTTTGTTCTTTCCTCAAAAAAACAGTGGGGCCTTAGATTAGAAAACAGTGGCCAGGTCCTGACATCACTTATTCAGGTTCCTATTAGCTTCTTCCTGTTTCGTATCTGGCTTACACGTTTGCTCTTCACTCAGATA